TATATATTATATAATGAAGATGAAAGATTAGGTAAGAATGAAGATTGAAGGGACCACATCTTACCTTGCCTCGTCTTGCCGCTGAATCGACACCATCTCGCCCGCCGTCGTCATCCTCCGACACTACTCCTTCTGTTCGTCTCTCTCCTCTCCTCTGTTCATGTTCTTCTTTGATGGTTAGGTTCACATCGACAAGAGAGAAAGGGAAAAGAGGGAAAAAGGAAAAGAAAGAAAAACAAATAAATGAATACAATTAAATTTAATGTCAAAACGACGTCGTTTCAGAACACTGCAGAAAGTGCGGCAGGGAACCGCGGCGGAGGATCCAGCCTCTTTGGTGTGCAGCTGTGTTGAATTACGAGGAAGATGTGGCGGCGTACACAATAAAAGCAGCCACAGATCCAAGGGCTTACAATCGAGTATAGGCCTCACCTTAACATTGTCTCTCAATTGGATTTGCTCTCTTCTTGGGAAGACAAAACTGGACGTGCTTTCAAAAGGACCTATGTATCAGAAGAATCTATCGTCAAACTCTCCGAAAGTAAGTGCTCTATTTGATAACTTTATTTTTTTAATTTTTTTTAAATTACAAATATAATTGGTAAGATTTACTTAAAATATGAATTGTTTCATGTTATTAAAAATTTTTAGGATAAATTACAAACATAATCCCTGAGATTTACTTAAATTATAAATCACCCCTTGTGACTCTAGAAATTACATTTTGTTCTTTAAGGTTTCTAATTTCATAACAAATAGATCATTTTATTAATAAATCATCAATTTAATTAACAGTTTTAAATAATATTAAAATTTTATTTCAATTAATAATTCAGATAATTTTATTATTGTATAGGTGAACAGTTAGAAATTTCACTTTTTCAATTAATTCTGTTAAATAAAAATTTTTGACAGGGAGGTATTTGTAATTTTCTAAACCACAGGGGGCAATTCATCTTTTAAGCAAACCTCAAGGGGTGTATTTGTAATTTATCCAAATTTTTAATTTCATAACATATGATCCCTTTTTATTTATAATTATTAAGTCAATTAATAGTTTTTAATAATGTCAAAAATATATTTCAATTAATAATAAGTAATTTTATTATTGTATAGAAAAGTAATCAGGAATTTCATTTTTTAGTTAATTTTGTTACCTTCTAAAAAAAAGTTAATTCTGTTAAATAAATAATTCTAACAATGAAATATTTATAATTTTTCAAATCACAAGGAGTAATCTGTGGTTTAAGCTAGTGGCGGAACTAAGAAATTAGGTTAGATGAGGCACTTATTAATTATAATTTTTTATTTTAAAAAAATCATGAGCAACATTAAGATAATCATAATTTTATGAGATAAATTTAAACATAAAAAATTACATATTCATTATTAATAAGAACAAATCAAAATTCTATAATAGTGTGGAATAACTCGGTATGAGATGATGATGTAAGTTTGTAATTTTAGCACAAAAAATTATGGATCAAAATTCCTAATTTTAAAAAATAAAAATACATCATTTATAGAACAAATTATTATAAAATCTATTTTTATTTGATAGAAAAATATTAAACATATGACATTGCTTATAAATGTTGTGTTTTGAATGAAAATTATTAAACAGTCTTAGAGTACCATATGGCGTTACCTATGTAATGCTCAAAGCATAGAAAATCACAAATCACACTAAGTGGTATGTCAACTACTTGAAAATAATGAGTTCATTATATCCAATTTATAATATTTTTCGCTACACTATTGATTTGAATTCAGAGTAAAATTTTATTTTTATACAGAGTAAAATTTTACTTTTGTGTAGAGTCTAACATTTTACTCGTTTTTCAGAGTAAAATTTTACTTTTATACAGAGTAAAATTTTACTTTTGTGTAGAGTCTAACATTTTACTAGTTTTTCAGAGTAAAATTTTACTTTTATACAGAGTAAAATTTTACTTTTGTGTAGAGTCTAACATTTTACTAGTTTTTCAGAGTAAAATTTTACTTTTATACAGAGTAAAATTTTACTTTTAGTTTCAGAGTGTAACATTTTACTCTTATTCAGAGTAAAATTTTACTTTTATACAGAGTAAAATTTTACTTTCATACAGAGTAAAGTTTTACTTTCATACAGAGTAAAATTTTACTTTTAGTTTCAGAATGTAAAATTTTACTTTTATACAGAGTAAAATTTTACTTTCATACAGAGTAAAGTTTTACTTTCATACAGAGTAAAATTTTACTTTTAGTTTCAGAATGTAAAATTTTACTTTTATACAGAGTAAAATTTTACTTTCATACAGAGTAAAGTTTTACTTTCATACAGAGTAAAATTTTACTTTTAGTTTCAGAATGTAAAATTTTACTTTTATACAGAGTAAAATTTTACTTTCATACAGAGTAAAGTTTTACTTTCATACAGAGTAAAATTTTACTTTTAGTTTCAGAATGTAAAATTTTACTTTTATACAGAGTAAAATTTTACTTTCATACAGAGTAAAGTTTTACTTTCATACAGAGTAAAATTTTACTTTTAGTTTCAGAATGTAAAATTTTACTTTTATACAGAGTAAAATTTTACTTTCATACAGAGTAAAGTTTTACTTTCATACAGAGTAAAATTTTACTTTTAGTTTCAGAATGTAAAATTTTACTTTTATACAGAGTAAAATTTTACTTTCATACAGAGTAAAGTTTTACTTTCATACAGAGTAAAATTTTACTTTTAGTTTCAGAATGTAAAATTTTACTTTTATACAGAGTAAAATTTTACTTTCATACAGAGTAAAGTTTTACTTTCATACAGAGTAAAATTTTACTTTTAGTTTCAGAATGTAAAATTTTACTTTTATACAGAGTAAAATTTTACTTTCATACAGAGTAAAGTTTTACTTTCATACAGAGTAAAATTTTACTTTTAGTTTCAGAATGTAAAATTTTACTTTTATACAGAGTAAAATTTTACTTTCATACAGAGTAAAGTTTTACTTTCATACAGAGTAAAATTTTACTTTTAGTTTCAGAATGTAAAATTTTACTTTTATACAGAGTAAAATTTTACTTTCATACAGAGTAAAGTTTTACTTTCATACAGAGTAAAATTTTACTTTTAGTTTCAGAATGTAAAATTTTACTTTTATACAGAGTAAAATTTTACTTTCATACAGAGTAAAGTTTTACTTTCATACAGAGTAAAATTTGTTTAGCATGTGAAATTTGTAGGAAAGAATGGATGGTGTTGCTGCACATCAAATGTGGGAAAAAACAGAGCATGGATTTTCTTTGTATAAACAAAAAACAAAGCAAAAAAAAAGATGAAATGTTATAGATCTAAACTAAATGGGTTTCTCTTTTGTATACTTGTCATCTACATAGATCCAAGGTAAAGATAAATAGCATGAAGTTGCTGAAAATAAATAGCCTGAAGTTGCTGAAAATTAATAGAATGAAGCTCAGTAAAAAATAAATAGAATGAGTTTCAAACCTGAATGAAGATCGGATGCAAAGGTTCAACAGATCGAAGATTCAAGATGAAATGAAGCTCTTGCTCCTACAGTGAAATGAATCTGCTGCAGTGAAAGCAAAATGGGAAAAGCTAAAAGAAAAATGAGAGGGTCAAAGATGTAATAAAGCTAGCCAATCCCATGGGATACATTATCCCATAGATTCTATCCCAGGCCCCCCCAGGGATACAATAAGCCAGTGAATTCCGGATTAATAGTCCGGAGGGATTATTAATCCGGACCAAAAAATCTATACCAAACAACGGACTATTAATCCCTCCGGATTAATAGTCCAATCCCATGAGTTATCCTTTAAAACAAACGAGCTCTTATAGTATTCTTCATACTCAAGTCTCTTCATCTTTTTTATCAAGTTTAACTTATTTTCTCTTGGTCTTCTTCTTTACTCTAAAACTCCAATCCACTTCACCAAAACTCACCATTATCATTAACTTCGTTGTTTTTTATTGTATTGTTACTTGCAAATAGAAAAAAAATTTGAACAAAATCAACCAACGGATGAGAATAATAATCAAAATTGTTTTTTGAAGCAACCTATCAAAGAGAAGGTAAGTATTCGCATAAATATCAAAGTACAATTATTGATTTTATGTGTTTTTTTTTCTTTTAATGTAAAAATGAATATTTAGTCTGTTTTATGTCAATACTGTTCAGGCTTTCAGATCCAAACAAATTCACTTTATTCGAATCTAAAAGTCCAAACAAAACAATCTTGTTCGACGCTAGACAGCCAAACAAGCTAACTATGTTTGACTCTATAAGTTCGAAAATTGTTACTTTATTAAAATATTATATTATTTAAAGATAATTTATGAAAAAATATAGAATATATTAAGAGTAAATTATATATTTAAATAATTTAATAGAAAGTACTAAAAAAATTAGACATACTCACTACAGGAATTTACACATTCAGCGACTAAAAATGCCGGCTAAAACAAATTTAGTCGCCAAAGATACACACTTTAGCTACCAAAATAAATTTAGTCCCCAAAGATAGGAACTTTAGTTACTAAAAGAAATTTGGTCGGGAAAGGTTCTATTTTCAGCTACTAAGAATAATTTAGTCGGTATTGATGTTACTTTTGGTGACTAATTTAAGTTTAGTTGTTGAAAATAGGATTTTGGGCTACAAAAAAAATCTTGGTCTCCAAATGTACAATCTTTAGCAACAAAGAATAATTTAGTAGCTAAAGATGTTACTTTTGGCGACTAATTTAAGTTTAGTCGTTGAAAATAGGATTTTAGGCTACAACGAAAAAAATGGTCCCTAATTGTACAATGTTTAGCTACTAAGAATAATTTAGTCGCTATTTATCTTACTTCTACCGACTAAACTATTTGGTCGGCAATTGTAATTAAGTTTTCGAGGGAAGATTTCCAATTTAGGAGGGATTCCTAAAACAATTAGCGACTAAATTATTTAGTTCGTCGGGAAAAACTGGTTTTTGTTTCTTTTTGGCGACTAACAGACACTGGTTGGGAAAAAACTAAACCTAAGAAATCAAGGTCGATCTGTCTCTCTCTCATTCACGCCTCTGTGTCACTGTCTCTCTTACTCTCGCCTCACGCCTCTGGGACTCTCTGTCTCTCTCACTCTCACTCTCGCCTTTGCCCTCCTTTCTGTCGATTTGTTTCCGTCTGTTACACGAGCACCACAGTCACTTCCAGGTATCTCCTCTATTTCGCCCTCTCTCTATCTCTCTCTATTTGTCTTTGTGTCTTCCTCTCTCTGTTTTCCTCTAGTCGGAACTGTGAGGCGCCATATGTTGAAGAAGTGGAACAAGTATTGTTCCTTCCATCTCCATCGACCTCTTCATCACAGAGATCTTGTGTATTATCCATCTAATTCACTGCAAAACCACACTACACCCAACAATCAAAACACTAGTTTTCGAACCATTGTCGTTTGGTGATGATGAACAGACCTTGCTGAATTGATTGGAGTTTGGTAATCGACCTAGCCCCAAATCGACCCAGCCCCAAGCTTCTTTTCCATACTCCATCTATGAGGATGTTGGCCATGACCCATTAACAAACATAGCATCGATTCCCATTGAGTTCCGTTCATTAAATCACCCACAAAAACTACTCTCTTCCCTCTGATCAAAACCAACATTTTTGTTGCATTGAACCTAGGAAAAATAACAACCTTCTCTCTCTCTCTCTCTCTCTCTCTCTCATTCCTTCTTCTCTTTCTGATTTCAATGGCATCAGATTGAACACCTCTATTCAGGTACCCCTCTCTCTCCTCCCAATCTAGTTTGGTAGAACTATTGTGTGTGCCTCTCTATGTTTTTTTTTTAATGTTTCAACTGTTGAACCCAAATGAGTTTAACTGAAATGCTTGGGTAAATCACTAAGTGGGGTTAACTGGGTCAAATTGTAAGCATCTCATATTAGCCAATTGAACCATTACTACACTTTTTCACATGTTGAGTTCAACTTCAAGCAATTGAGTATAGCACCTTAGTACCTTAAAAAAGGAAAAGAAAAGAAAAGAAAAGGCATTAAAATTAGCGTAATAGGACAGATGGTTTGGTCATCTACAATGAAAACCTATAGATGTAACCATAAGGAATGTGGATGTACATATGAAACTGTAAGCGGAGGGGAAATTCAAAACTGAATGCGATAATAAAAAAAGATATGCATTTGTTTAATCTAACTGAGAATATAGCCTTTGACAAAGAAGAATATTGAAAAAATATTCAAATACCCCACTTGATTGAGAAACAAGGCTTAATTTCATTTGGTTTGGTTTGGTTTGGTTTGGTTTGATTTAGGAGAAAAGCAAAACCTAATGATCTAAGATTGGTGACTGATAGTGATACATAATTTTGACTATCAAGAGCACAATAAGTTTGTTCTATGTGATGTGTGCATGCTAGTCTCTGTGGTGGCTAGTTAATAAAGTTAATAATTTTGACTACGAAGAGCACATAATTTTGACTATCAAAAATTAATAAAGTTAAAATTTGTGTTCAAGCCCATGCTAGTCTCAGTGGTGGCTAGTGGCTTATGGTTTCATTTTTCTGTGTAGAAATGGGTTGAAATTATAGGACAAGCATGCCATGGTGTGGATTTCTTGAAAGATCAAGATGTAATCAGGATTGTCCTTAATATATTGCAGGTATGTTTTACGACTAAAACAATTTTTCTCGAGTCAATGAAATTACATTATTTGTTGTACTTCCAGAACTTGGTTCTCTCATGAGATGGAGCATTATTTTTTCTAAGCTTCTTCTTCTTCTTCTTCATCATTTATCTATTTAGTTATTTTCTTTGGGGGTGGGGTGGGTATTCTGTGTGTGAGTTGATGTGAAATTGAAACCACTTAGGGAGTCTTTGGCAACCCATGCTTATTATTTGACTTTGTTTTACTACAACAGAAAGCACTACTTTTTTATTTTATTTATTTTTTTAGCATGGAGATATTTGAACATAATAACGGTATTTTTTTGGTAAAAAATATAGAGTAATACAGGACAAAAATATTCAGTTCTTTGTGGAAGTAGCAAGGATTGAATGTAACAAAAATTTACCATCCTGATAGAGGACTCAGTTCACTTTTCCAATAAAAATTACTAACATGATATTATACTGTATTTCAATAGTCTAAAAAGAAAAAAAATTAATATACCACATTCTGAAAGAACTCTAATATTACTTAAGAAGTTCAAAATCATTTTGAATAATTCCAGAATGAAAACTGTGGCTTCCTAGTGAATGATGTACATGAATATTTCCCCATTTAAAATATTTCTGCTTTTTTTTTCCTTACTCACGGTACATTACCCCATCACAATATTGTCATTATTAATTCAATAAGTTGAAATTTGGTGCAAAATGCCAGCTACAAACCTCTTCATGTCCAAATTAGTCCAATCAATGCACCAAGCTGTAGAAATATTTCTCATTCTTATGGTTTTCGAAAGGAATGAATAATGACAGTATCATGAACAACATTTTGAAAGAAGAACATTTATGGCATCAATCCTTCGGAACATGGATAGCTAATTTAACTAGCCTAAACTTGTAATATGCAAGAAGTTTAGACTGACTACATTTGAAAGCCATGAAAGTGCAGTAAATCGCAACAACAGATCCCAGATCATATATCCCCATGCATACAAAAGATCAATGTGATATAATTTGAACACATAAATTTTCAGTTGTCATCTAGAAGAAACATTCAAATTTGAACCATAAAGAAGAATTCAATGTATGTCGATGTTATTGATATTGTGATTTCAATCAATTCTCATATTTGAAAATATAGAGAACCACTAGGGTTAGCCCAGTGGCCAGAACCCATGTACCTCACTAGGAGGTCAAGGTTCAACTCCCCCTCCCCCTCTAATGTACCCAAAAAAAAATACAGAGTAATTTTGCAGCTTTTACAATGCGACTTTTACCTTTCACCAAGCCACACAACAGTACCCCTGCAAAACTTTTTAAGATTTCCTCTTCATTGGCTGTAATTCACACAGAAGATTTTCAGTGACAGCATAAGACAGCCAACACAAATGCTAAACATACAACACCAGCATTCTGCACGAAATTGCCCTTACATGGCAACTGAACACAGGGATGTGGCAAGCTCGGATGCATTGTTCATCTTGCAAGGGTCCAAGCTACATCTGAGAGGAAGTAATCTGGTTCACCGTGGCCATAAAAAGAAATATGGCTGTATCAACCATGCCTTGAAACTCAGATGTCAAGCCAAGGAAACACATCTTTTTGGGTGTGCTATTTCTCAAATGCATTCATACAGATCTTCTCCAACAACAATGGCCAGTCTTCTCCAAGTTGTTGTGGATTTAACTCCATTGCAACCTTGAAATCAAGCAATGATATTGGGTTCATTACAAAGAATTGTAGACATGCTCCACATTGACAAGAAGAAATGTAAGTGCTACAAGTGTTACAAGTTCTACTTTATGGACAGAGAACTAGTGCTACAAGTGTTACTTTATGCTAATCATGAAGCTATTTTTTTTCTCCCTTTTACTCTCCTTTTACAATTCATTGCATCATTAATGGGTAAGTAACGATTTAGTACATCAGTGGTGATAGTAAAAGAATAATGTTCGTTCAATATTATTGTACTCATCATGTTCTACCCTAGGCCTATGCCTAATCAAATACATGCTAGGAAAAAAACTGCTCTGTCAAATGGGGCTGTAATTGGGTTGTCAAATACATATTAGGATTAAACTTTTTTGTAAAATTATTTGGATTTCATGAACAGGGTGAAGTATATGGTGCTGTTTTAACGGTGAAAATAAATGATACGGGAAACTATGGGTGCTATCCAGATTGTGAGGAGAAGATGTCAATGCCTCTTTTTGCTGAGGCTAACATAAATCTCATGAGAAAAAGACCAATGAAATCATTGGTAGCTCATTGTAAGTTGAAACTCACAGTCAGAATCTTAAACATATTCTTCACCGGTGACCTTGTTTCTATAAGTCTTTTCATGATTTTTCTCAACAATTTGTCTTTAGTTGTGCCAAAATATATAGTATTAGTCAACTCACGTTTGTTTCATTATGTGTGGTACAGTTCTAGGATCAGCAATCCTCCTATTACTTCTGCTACTGCTACCACTATTATTGTTGCTTTTAATCAGTGTTCGTACATGAATCAGTGTGTGGTTTTTATTTTTACTTTTTTGTATTTCCTACGGTCTGCTTCATGGCTGAAAAGTAACAAAATTATCCCTGAAATTGAGAATCATTTGAGATGATAGCTAGAAAATATTATTTCAATCATTGAATTTGCAATCTTGTTTCACTGAATTAATAACCAATCTGATGATGGCATGTTATATTTATTTGTATGCAGTCCAGTACAGATTTATCTGAGAATGTGACTCACTTCACCGGTGGTGTCCAAGACCCTCCTTGCACATGAGCCAGCCCTCAAACTTTCGCCAGCGGTAACTATGAAAACTTTGAAATGATTGTAAATCAAAGTGAAACTATGATAAACTTTTCATTGATTTTGTTTTCAAAATCATGAAAACCAAAAACATAACCAAATAGGGTCAATATTTGTTCCAAATATCATGATTAAAATTGCATATGTTGAAAAGAGGCTATTGTTTCCGACTGAGTGCCAATTTCTTTGAGCTTCATTTATAATCCATTGCTGCAAAATTAACTTTCAGGTCACATTGTGGATCAAGAAATGGAGAATCTAGCAATGATAAAATTCATTATTCCCATTCTTCTACTAATCACCAGCAGGAGACACCTCTGCCTAGTCTCACGCCATCGCCACTTGTCTCCAGGGAGAAGGGGTAAAATGAAATAGTTTGTGACGGTACATAACTTGAAACAAATTGATTCAATTTAAGTCTTGATTCCTTGTTTAAATACATTGGATGGATATCAAGTGTGGACAGAGAACTAGTGCTACAAGTGTTACTTTATGCCTTGGAAATTATGATAAGATGGATATCAAGTTCATATGATTGCAGCATTACATTTTCATGTGCCATAATTCTCATCTTGGCATAGCTTACTCCTTACTCATGGCACTTAATTTGCATATTTACTAACCATGACTTTTCAGGAGGTTGTTGAACTACAGCTTCTTTTCATAGTATTGATTTCATTTTGTATTTATCTTGCTATGTGGACTTGTTCTTTGGTAAGAGTAATCTATGATTCTATCTGCCTTGTCTATGATTTTATATTTTACATCTATTCATTCATATTACTGTTGAAATGCATGTCAAACATACATCAAGGAATTGTTCTCATCTATTCATTCATATTACTCTTGCTATGATTTTACATACGTGCATAGTATTTCTCATGTCCAACTACTGATTATGAAGATTGGAGCTTGTTTCTTAATTGCCAACCTTGTAATCATGCTTGTTCTCATCTTATCCAACAACTTAAAACCTTCTTTTTTTTCTTTTTTCTTTTTTGTGTGTTAATTGGTTCATTTACCTATTTATATTTTCCATGCTTGGTTTATTTATTAATTGGATTAAATCATAAATTAAGCACCTGAGATTCAATCTTTAGATATTAAGCACTTTGAAACAATCCAGTTAATGATTGACTCACTAGTCTTGATACAACGAGCAAAAATTTTGACACATACATTGTTTGTACGTAACTGGAAGCTTTTCGGTGACAAATGTGACATGTAGGGACAGACGATACGTAAATAGGACACATACGCTGGGAGTTAGAGTTGAAAATGTCATAAATTTAGTTGAAAAAAGGGGTTCGGGGGGCGAAAATGCAAAATAGCCCCCGGACCACTATTTTTGCATAACGGGAAGCTTTCCAGTAACAAATGTGACATGTAGGGACAGACGGTACGTAAATAGGACATCTATGTTGAGAGTTACAGTTCAAAATGTCATAAATTTAGTCGAAAAAAAAAGGGTTTGGGGGGCGAAAATGCAAAACAGCCCCCGCACCACTTTTTGTACATAACAGGAAGCTTCCCAGTGACAAATGTGACATATAGGGACAAACGGTACATAAATAGGACACATACGCTGGGAGTTAGAGTTGAAAATGTTATAAATTTAGTCGAAAAAAAGGATTCGGGGGGCAAAAATGCAAAACAGCCCCGAACCACTGTTTTTACGTAACAAGAAGTTTCCCAGTGACAAATGTGACATTTAGGGACAGACAGTACATAAATAGGACATCAACGTTGGGAGTTAGAGTTGAAAATGTCATAAATTTAGTTGAAAAAAAGGAGTTCGGGGGGCGAAAATGAAAAACAGCTCCGAACCACTGTTTTTACGTAACGGGAAGCTCCCCAGTGACAAATGTGACATCTAGGGACAGACAGTACGTAAATAAGACATCTACGTTGGGAGTTAGAGTTGAAAATGTCATAAATTTAGTCGAAAAAAAGGGTTTGGGGGGCGAAAATACAAAATAGCCCCGCACCACTATTTTTACATAACGGGAAGCTTTCCGGTGACAAATATACGGTACGTAAATAGGACACATACGTTGGGAGTTAAGAGTTGAAAATGTCATAAATTTAGTCGAAAAAAGGGGTTCAGGGGACGAAAATGCAAAACAGCCCCCGCACCACTATTTTTATGTAACGGGAAGCTTCCCGGTGACAAATGTGACATCTAGGGACATAAGGTACTTAAATAGGACACATACATTAGGAGTTAGAGTTGAAAATGTCATAAATTTAGTCGAAAAAAGGGGTTCGGGGGGCAAAAATGCAAAACAGCCGCCGAACCACTGTTTTTACATAACGAGAAGCTTCCCAGTGAAAAATGTGACATGTAGGGACAGACGGTACGTAAATAGGACATCTACGTTGGGAGTTAGAGTTGAAAATGTCATAAATTTAGTCGAAAAAAAGGGGTTCTGAGGGCGAAAATGCAAAACAGCCCCTGCACCACTGTTTTTACATAACGGGAAGCATCCCGATGACAAATGTGACATCTAGGAACATACGGTACGTAAATAGGACACACACATTGGGAGTTAGAGTTAAAAATGTCATAAATTTAGTCGAAAAAAAGGGGTTCGGGGGGCGAAAATTGAAAACAGCCCTGTAGACGTCCCCGAACGTCCCGAGAAATTCCCGTTTTGTCCATTGGGCTCACTACAGTTCGGACTCGATGTCACAGTTCTGAATCTAATCTCGTAAAGTGCAATGCAAGATCGATAAATCACCAAAGAGTCCAAATCCGGCAAATCATTTTGAAAAACTGATTTTAGAAAAAAGTGTCAAACATGGACTGATTCGCCAGATACAGAGTCACCGCCTAAATTTTTTATTTCGGAGGAATTTAGGAAACCCTGACTCGTGCCTAAGGCCACATGTCCGTCATCACCAAAGTTGCCTCGGCTCAGGAACTTGGGTACAATTGGGAAAGGTCATGCAATGAGCACCCCCGCTCGTCCGATCAAAGATCGGCCACTATTAAACATGATATCTTGTTTTTGAAAACATATGTGCTCTTATTCCGGTTTATTAGCCTAGAATTGCTACGTGATACGCACAACATACAAGTATAGACTGGATCGTCTAAGTTGGAACAAAACACCTCATGTTTGTTTTTGAAAGCGGTTTGCTACTCGCAAGTAGGCTAAAATGCGAATTTTGCCACCCTCAAGTGGGCTTAGAAAAGATGGTGATTTGCCACTCTCAAGTGGGCTTAAAACTCGCAATCGATGAATTATTCCAATTAAATAATCCAACCTTCACCCACAGGCATTCAGGTAGGTATATCACATAAGCAGTTAGCCTTATGGCAAGCATGCTATTATGGCAGTCACTCACACACATGCAAGGATGCTACAGCATAAACACTTACCGAGTACTCTGAGCCAAAGAAAAAAGCTAATTAGAAAACATGCATGAATCCTAACTATGCTGAGACGACTAATGCAACACATGCGAGAATACAACTAAGATAGGCTCGACTATTCTAAGATGGCATATGAGATGCTACAGGTAACATGTATTCAACTTGGAATTGAAATACTATGCAGTTAGTTTGATGCGCCGAGCCCGGTGCATGCAAAACAGATGAATGGATGCAAACATACGAGCATGAGGATGCTAATTGAAACGTGCCCTAAAACTAACCATCATAAGCTGGTAAATGAAAGGGAGAAAGACGAGAGATTGGAAGACATACATCACACACACGCACACTTATTACAACTTTGCCCTCTCTCGGAGGGTTCGAATGAATAATACACAACCAACTAGCTAATCTAAGCTAATTAAACTAATTATTACACAACCCAAATGAATAACGAATTACAGCTAATTATTACACAACACTAACTAATTAACAAATTTAACTAAGGAAGCAAATAAACTAGCATGCAAGCTACATGAAATGGATTGCCTCAGCTTTGCCTTGAATGATAAAGAATGCATGCATGCCCGAGTCGCCTTGTCGGGAAATCCATCGCGATGCCTCGACTCGCTTTTGTTTGCAATTGATTTCAGAAAGTTACACGAGGCTCCAGAGAGATAAAACTCCACCCAGGGAAGCTGCGGAAGGATGCCGACCAGCTATGGGCAAGGGAGACCACCTGCTGACCACCCTTGGTAGTGAAGACCAGAAAAGGTGGTCGGCCTGCCAGAAAACCTGGTCGGCCGACCTGTTCATTCTCCTGGTTTTTGTTTTTTCTGCAACAAAGGCAAGAGAGAGAGAAGGCAAGGTATTTTCAACATATGTGTGCCCGACTATTCTCCCCATCATTGTATAAGCTCTAGGGAGTGTAGTCCTCGATCCTCGGGCCACCAATCACGCATCCCGATGCATGATGGTCGAGAAGTCGAATTGCACGACTCAATGGGACATGAATGCACGTATAAGCAACTAAAACCAATAACTCCATCATGGATGGTCAAGAGTGTTGGTGACCGGGAATCGAGGCACGTTTCATCACATGGAGTATGAAACGTTCCTCGTTTCCCGTGTTTGGACTAACTCCTATTCCAAGCACAATGCAACAAGTAGAATGGCATGGCATGTACAACTGCAACTCTAGTATGCAATCCTAAATGTAATGCGACTAAGTGATGCAAGCATGCAACTAGCATACAGAATGCTATGGACTAATCAAGGGCATACTCAATGCACGTGGATTATATGGCATGCATACACAATGCACTAACATACGCAATGTTATGAACGAGGCATACGCAATGCAATGATCGAACATGCGATAACATGGATTATATGGCATACACAGTGCAAGATGGACTTAAACCAAGATGGATGGACCTCAGTCGCACCCAAATCAGTGGCCAAACATGATGAAAACAAGGCAATGACACACACAAAAGCATGCACAATGCAAGGGATCAAAGCCTAAGGTATAAGATACAACTCTACAAAAGCATTGGAAGGATGAAATATGGCATACAACAACACATGTTCCAGCTCTGAAATAACATGCAACATGGTCCCGAATCACGCAAACAACTCACGCAATGCATATTGAATAGCTCAAGCATTGAAACTAGTGAAGTGCACTATACTATAGGCATGCAAAGCGATACTCAAATGAACAAACCAACCTCAAACAGTCTCTATGCAGGTCCAAAATAGTGGCAAAATGGACTAAGATGATGGCTTGAAATGCACAAAAATGAAGCTCATGCAATGGCCCATAAATGAGGTATACAAGCACAACTCTCAAACGCATTTAAAGAGTGGAAAACATAGAAACATGGTACAAGTATAGGCTCTGAAATAACATGCTCAATGATGCCAAGACATGGAAACACCTCAACTTAAGCATGCAAGAGGGTTCAAAACTCAAGGCTAGGCAAGGGTATTACACTACAACCATGCTTGGCAAGCATCATTCGACCAAGAGGCCTAAAATCAGAGCCGAGGCAACCCAAAATATGAACAAAATCAGTTTAGAGCATGGCCAAAATGTGCTAAAATCAAGGGCCAAAACCACATGCGATGTAAGCCAGTGAGCATGATTTACACTACAAGCATGTGAAGCATTCAAGAGGCCACTAAACCAGCAAAAGACAGAGGTATGAAATGCCAAATAATGACGAAAAACCCACTGAAACATGACCAATACATGCAAGAATGACATGCTCCTTTGATAAGCTATGAAGAGGGTTATTCTACACATGCAAGAGGCAAACACGAGGTGACCAAACCAGCCTTAGACAGAGTCTAGGAAGGTCTTAAAAGTCACTAAAAATGGCCTGAACTAAGGCTAGGAAGTGTGAAAATATAGGCTCCTTGGAAAGGCCAAATATGCAAACAAACAAGGCCAAAAGAGAGAGGGTCACCCCTCTCTGATTTTGGCCCTCAAAACAGCATGCCAACCACTGAAAATTCACTGGATTTCAATGGCTAAAAGGCCAAGAAAAGGTCAACACAAAGGCCTTAAGGCATGGCTCGAAACAAGACTAAATGAAGCATGCAAAAGGGTAGATGACCTCCAACAGGAAAATGGCCTTAAACAAACATGAATAATGCTTAAATATAAACCTTTTTTCAGTTGACAACAAAGCTCAAATAAGCATGCAAATGAAGCTAAGAGAAGGATCAAAATAATGCTCAAAAGAGGAAAAAGTGATTACCCTTGAAGCTCAGCAAAAACCAGCAACTTCTGGACCCAAAACACAGCTCATTAACCTCTAAAAATGGCCTCCAAGAACCTTAGGTTGATGGTGAAAGTGTTAGGCTATGATGTGGTGTGCAAAGGGCCAAGAATCATACACTTTGGAGCTCAAAATAGTGAGATATAGAGAGAGAGATATATTCTTTTCCTTAGACAAAAATCTGAAACATGTATAAGGAGAGGGAGAGCCTCTCTTATAGAGGTTTCAAGCCAAAGCTTCTCAAAGAAGCTAAAAACCAAGGCTAAAGATCCTCCATACACATGTATAGAGGATGCAGTCTGTGCTTTCCAGCTGGCACAGCTAGCAACAACTCACAGAGACAAAACTGGAGGGAGCAGGCTGACCAGTTGAGGTGGTCGGCCGACCAAGGCAAGTGGTCTTCCAAAAAAAAGTTGGTCGGCCAGCCCATTTGATGGTCTCCCAACTGAATGCAAGCTAGTAGTGTGGTGGGAGACCAGCAAATGTGGCTCAAAAACCAAGGAGACCAGCTTCCTGACAAGAAAACTGGCTGGTGGGAAAAAGTGGTCTCCAAGGAGAAAAGGTGGTCTCCCACCCTTGTACCACCTTCCAAACAATGAAAACAAGGTTCATGCCAAAAATGAACCAACACCGACGCAAAACGAGGGTTCGGGGGGCAAAACGCGCGGTCGGGTGCCCCGAAAATAGGCTGTTAAGCACCAAAAGTGGCGTGCGACCACAAAGGTGGTCTCCCGGGCCGCAGTGTCCCTCTAGATAGAGGAAACAAGGTGTGTGCCAAAAATCGTGCCAAACGGAGAATATTAAGCGGTCCCGAACCGAGGCGCACGGCCGACGGCTCCGAAAATCGAAAACTTGTCTCCAAACAGGAACAGTGGCCTGCAACCACAAAAAGTAGCCTACGACCACTGAGAGATGGTCTACAAGACCTCTCCCTCCCTCCGGGAAGAGAAAGCAAGACCTGGTCCACAAATCGAGGCAAAGCATAAAAGGGTCCCGAGGTCCGGGGGTAAGAACCTCAGCCGAAACTCCGAAACCTCAGAACGAGCACAACATGCGCAATCACCGAGCGCTCAATCGATGACGTCTGAGTCTTAAGGTCGATCAAAAATAGGGTGTCTACAGTTGCCCTTCTTTGACAGAACTCGGAAGTCATAAGTGACGGGAGTGAATGTCAAAGCCCAGAGACGACCCATTTTTGACAAGGCCGAAGACTTAGACAAACAGGCGAGATAAACAAAGAGATGTGCTCGTAGGCAGGGGCAAAATGCAAAGGGGTATACACAAAGCCGAACATAACTTATGATCATGCAAAGCACGCTGTAATGAAGCAAATATACACAATAAATGCAACAGTTTAAGCGAATGTTATGCAAAGCAAGTAAATACGAGCCAAACCACATCTTATGCAGAAAAGATGTAAGAAAATTATACGATTCTCACTGCATCTCACGCAGAGAAGGCTAAAAGCGACTGCCGAGAACACCCGGAGTCTCAAACGAAACAACTCTCAACGTATCAAACGCAAAAGGAGAAAGGGGACAAATGGACGCCGGAACGCATCTGAGTGCTCGAAACTGAAGGCATCCTAATGCACCACATGCGAGAGGAGAAAATGTATGAATGAACACCAGAACTCATCCGAGTGTTCGAAACCGAAGATGTCCTAACGCACCGCATGCGAGAGGAGAAAAGGTATGAATGAACATCGGAACTCATCCGAGTGCTCGAAACCGAAGATGTCCTAACGCACCGCATGCGAGAGGAGAAAAGGTATGAATGAACACCGGAACTCATCCGAGTGTTTGAAACCAAAGATGTCCTAACGCACTACATGCGAGAGGAGAAAATGTATGAATGAACACCGGAACTCATCCGAGTATTCGAAACCGAAGATGCCCTAACACACCGCATGCGAGAGGACAAAAGGTATGAATGAACACCGGAACTCGTCCGAGTGTTCGAAATCGAAGATGTCCTAACGCACCGCATGCGAGAGGAGAAAAGGTATGAATGAACACCGAAACTCATCCGAGTGTTCGAAATCGAAGATGTTCTAACGCATCGCATGCGAGAGGAGAAAAGGTATGAATGAACACTGGAACTCGTCCGAGTGTTCGAAACTGAAGATGTCCTAACGCACCGCATGCGAGAGAAGAAAAGGTACGTTCAAACTGAACCGGAACTTCTCTTGAATAAACCGTACATACAATATCGTGCCTGTAAAAGAAGGGAACTTAATAGGTACAATAAGTTAACAACATATGTTCAGAGCTGTATCAAACGCGGACACGTATGGTGCCGATGGCAAAGTGTATAACGATGCAAATGAAGCGTGCGTGACGACGCATGCAAAGCATGGAGGCATGATAATATCAATGAAACGAGCATAACAATGCAAGTGGTGTGCATAATAACGCAAGATAAGTATAACTTCAAAAGCATGCTTGAAACAAAATGCTGAATAAAGAAGTGCAAGCTTCGAAGAGAGCAACTCAAACGCGACCTTCGATTTACCTCTCAGAGGGGTCGCAACGTACTCAAAAAGGATACACCTTGCTCTTGGCGAGTAACGACGAGCCATACGTCGAAGACTTGAATTGAAGTTTCGGCGGAGGCATTTCGCGCCGAAAAGTGTACTTTTCTTGTACTTTCTCGAGAGCCGGGGACTCCAATCATCACCAAAATTCACAGGGAGAACAAAGGGACCTGGGAGACCCCCCAGGAGGATGATCGACCACCTAGGCTAGTGGCCGACCATATTTTGTTCACAGGGTGGTCGGCCTGCCAGAAAACCTAGTCGGCCGACCAGTTTACCAAATTCGGGGCAGTTTGGTCCTTTTATGCTCGGTTCTTTAAATACACATATCCAAAACACTTTTGCTCACACCCCTTGGTCCGAAATCAGCCCCCCTTGCTTCCTAGACCATTTTTTCTCTTAGATCTGTGCTTTATATGCGTTTTCCAACACCCCACGCGAAGTTGTTTCGCGAAAACTTACAGTTCTCTTCACTTTGAATCGATTAAAATTTGATTTCGGAGCTTCTTTCTCCATTTTCACCACTTGAGGTATGTTTGTCTCGAAGTTTGGCACATTTTCTCGGGAGTTGACTTTTGTTGACTTTTTCCTTTCCCGAGAGTTGACTTTTGTTGACTTTTTCTAATTTTGGCCCATTTCACTCATTTTTGCTCATTTTTACAGATTTCTTCAGATGGCAGATCATTTTCATCATGGTGGAGGTCCTCCGCATACCGGGAATGAGCCAGATGTCATGTCACTGCCTCCGAGAGTTCGGCCTTTCGACCCCGAGAGGTATCATCCTCAGGAGCACGTCCTACCTCCGACCACTTTCTATCACTTCACTGACTTTGATCAACGAGCACCCGCGGATCTGCTACTACGGGAGCCAGAGTTCGTCTCTCTCATCAAGCACGAGAGGTACGTACTTCACTTTTACATTTTCTGCAATGTATTCTGCATTTCCTGCACATTCCATGCTTTCGCTATGTATTTTTTATCTGCTCGTTCTGAACACACTCACACCATAATTCTGCTTATACGGCATGCAGCTCACAACACAGTATTTTGTTAAGTTGGCACACGACTTGTTCTGAACACACGGTTCATTCTTATCACACAGTTTGTCTCAGGCACACAGCTCATTTTTCGGGCACACAACTTGTTTCTCGGGCACACGGCTCACTTTTTCGGGCACACAGCACATTTTCAGGCACACAGCTCATTTTTCCGGGCACATAGCTCATACTGAACACGCAATCCACAACACAGTGTCTGATTTGATTTGCATACAGCTCATGCTGATGATTCTGAACACGCAGCTCATACACTTTCATTTGTGAACACAGCTCATTTACTTCATTTGTACGCAGCTCATACATTCTACTTTGAACACACAGCCAATACCTTTTCATTTCCGAACACACAGCTCATAGACTTCATTTGCACGCAGCTTATACATTTCGTTCTGAACACACAGCTCACACGTCTCAATTCTGAACATGTAGTTCATGAATTTTTATTTGTACACAGCTTATTCTTAATTCTGAATACGCAGCTCATAAATTTTTATTTCTGAACACACAGTTCATTTACTTTATCTGCACGCAGCTCATACTGAACACAGTCCATACATGTTTATTTGCACGCAGCCCATACTGAGCACACAGTCCATTTACTTCATTTGCACGCAGCTCATACATTTCAATTCTGAAACTGAATACATCTGTTCATTCTGAATACAGGTATCTTCTCGTTCTACGCGAGGTTATGGCTCGATCGTCGCTAGGGAGTGGTATGCGGAGCTCCCAGATACTGTTCGCGATATCGTCGACGATGCAGGATTTGGACCCTTCTGCGCGGGGCTATCACGTTACCCGGCGAGCAGGACCTTGATGGGGGCACTTGTGGAGAGATGGTGGGACACCATCAACTCGTTCCACTTTTCAGCTACTGGGGATATGATGATGACCCCATTTGACTTTGCCATGCTGACTGGCCTTGACATGGCCGGCCGACCGGTCCCTTATGATGCAGATATGGGTGAGTGAGAGGCAACTTGGATTTATCTACTGGGAGTCCGCCCGCCGATCGACAGATCATCGGGTAGAGTCAAGTACACCTGGTTTCCTGCGCAGTACAAGGGGACTTCGCCCGAGACTATTGAGGAGATAGAGCAGTATGCTCGGGGGTTTTTGATGTTCCTCCTTGGGACCACTTTGTTCTCCGACAGGGGGAACACAGCTGGACTTTATATGCTTAGTGCTTTGGTAGACCTATCACAGGTCAGCCAGTATGATTGGGGCGGCACCGGCTTCGCTACCCTTTACTGTTATATGAGTGCGACCTCCCGTGGGCAGGGGAACATAGTAGGCGGCTACTGGAGAGCCTGGGAGGTACGTTCTGCCCTCCTGATTTACATCTCTACTTTTCATTATTTGTACACTGCACACGACATACCTTACATTCTGTATTCTTCATTCTGCACTCAACATTCTGTATTATCTGTATACATTCTGTATTCTGACGGCCACTATCCTATTTTTTCACAGCTGTGGGTTTATGCATACTTCCCGACGTTAGCCCCAGAGCTGGAGGTGGAGGTACCTCTGGAGATCCCCTACTCTAGCAGGTTCGAGGGTAGGTGTCGGCCGAGGGCTCGGAAGACTCTGCCCTACCTTCGGCAGTTCTTTGACACGGTGCGGGCGACCGAGGTAATCTAGAATTCTCAGTTCATCAGGTTTTTAGCCTTGGTTCATCTTGCATATTTATGTCATCTAATCAGTTTATGCACTCGTTATCCGCAGATCACTTGGGAGCCCTGGATATCTTTGGAAGGAGATACCCGTTTCTGATTCCCTGGGGCGTGGGCCTTTTCTCAATATTGGATTTTATTTGAGAGGCCAGTAGGCAGGGCCTGGTTTCTGGGAGATTGCTTCATGCGTCAGACTATGGGCATCCCCGATTAGGGTATCCCGACAGCACCTCCAGAAGATATGCGGTCCACTGAGAGACTCACTCCCGAGGAGGTCGATGTCGCTATGTTGGGTACCGACGTAGTTCAGTTGCTGGAGGAGGGAGAGTATGCAACCTACCGCCATACGTACCTGATGCCCCCATTGACAGGTATCCGTACTCCCACGAGGAGGGCTGCTGGTGCATCACCGTCGAGTCGAGTCGAGTCCGAGCTGTAGATATGCCTTCGACTAGCAGGGCCGGTACATCGAGAGGTGAGGCTGGACAGATTCCCCCGATTCCCCCAACTTACCAGCAGCTAGGTGGCCAGATCTTCCGACCGAGCTGACAGGTTGGCGGTATGGGACATCCTACCCGATTCCATTGGAGCCCACATTGCCTGATCACCGATACGTCAGAGACCCTGACTCGCCACCGGTATGCTTTACAGTTTTCATTTATCACTCAGATATTTGGACATTTATTCATTCACTGATAACTTGCACTTGCATCTCCAGCCTCCCATCGAGTATTGTGATGGGTTACTCGGAGTGGTGGCCTCACTCGAGAGCATGGTCCTGCGGAGGGAGACGTAACTATTCATCGCCGGTGTTTCGGTACTTTTTAATTTCCTTGCATTTATCATACTTCTGATGACATGCTGAATTTGACCATTTCACTGCATTGGTTGACTGCATGTGTAGAGCGCATCTGACACACACCACATTCATATATCGCATCTGCATACACCCATTCCATGTAGCATTCTTACATCTGCATCTGATATACATACCCTAGCTGATGTATTCCAATTGCCCTCCTTCTTTTGTTTCAGATGCCAGCGCTACAGGCTGGGCCATTTGGGCCTTCCCGAGGAGTTGGGAGAGGGGGCTCGACTCGCAGCTGAGGCAGGCGTAGAGCACCCATCAGAGATGATGAGGAGTCCAGCGAGGAGGAAGAGTCTGCGCATCCTCAGTCGGAGACATCCGCAAGCAGAGAGGAGGACTCTAGTTCCAGCTCTGAGAGTGGAGGTGATGCTGAGGAGGATTCCGAGGGCGGCGACTCCGATTCGGATGGTGATGGCGCAGGGGTTGCTCAGCCGAAGAGGACGAAGAGGGCCTCTTAGTCTTGCACTTGAGAGCACTGATGCAGATGTTCCTACTTTATTTTCTTTTATTACTAGTAGTTGTAGCACATTAGCTTTTAGGCAGTTTCATTTTCTTTAAAACTTTGTACCCTGTTGTAAAATGTTGTGACAAAAGGATCATGATGGAATGAAACAACTTTTTGTTCAAAAAGTGTTGTATTTTGTTTTCTTAGCATCGCATCACATTATTTTGCACAAAAATGAGATTGAATGGAAATTGAGCACCGTGTATTGCCAAGTCAGGTAGTGAACCGACGCAACAAACTAAACAACTTATCTTACTAAGAAACAGTAAAACCTTAGCAAGTTTACAACTCGATAAACAAAATCCGACAATGTTGATTAAACAAAGAGTAACAACTCGATGCACAAAACTCGACAACTCGATAAGCAAACTTAACAACTCGATAAACAAACTTAATAACTCGATAAGCAAAACTCAACAACAACTCGATAAGCAAACGCATTTCTGACAAACCGGGCGACGGAATGCATTTGAAACAGAGGTAAACACGGACCTTCAACACTCCCAACGCATGGAAAGGCTAGGAGCTTTCTTCTAGAGGCTAGGAAAAGGCCAAAACCCAATTTTCCTTCATTGCTAACCACCAAAGAAGGCTGGCCGACCAGCTTTCTGCCTTGGAGACCAATTGTGTGGTCGGCCGACCAGAAAAACTGGCTGGCCGACCAGAAAAGGTGGTCGGCCGACCAGTTGGCCCGGCGACCTCCAGATTTTTGACACGTGTCTCCCGAACAGTGCCTTATCCTCCATAAAGGTTCCAGCTTCGTGGTTCTCTCATTCCATCTTAGTTTTGCATCAAAATAGAGGCATTTCTCATCCAGAATCTCACAGCTTGGATTGCTACTTTAGACGACTCGAAAAAGTTGAACTTCCGGGGCTTCGGTATAAATGCACTATTCACGCTGAGTCGCACTCCACTGCACTTTCCGTTTCTCCATGTCGCGGCAAGGTTTTAGAATTAGGTAACACATGTCTTTAGCTTTGGCGGCAGGAGGTATGTCCTACGTTCGAAGATTTCCAAGCTTTGATGGAATCCGAACGTGACGAAGAAATCTTGCCCCAGCTTCGCTTCGGCCATGCTCAAGCCCTAGGACAAATGTGTGGGCTTACTATGCACGATGCTCGATCTCCCATTGACAGGTGTCTGCACTCCCATGAGGAGGCCTGCTGGCATGCCATCATCAAGTCGAGTCTGGCGGTGATCACCACTGGCAAGGTTTTCGGCGACATGCCCTTTGCTTGTGCATGCTATCTCACTTTTTGCTTGCCCCAGGCTTCAGCGGGTCTAGCATTCGTCTGATCGAAGTTGCTCAAGGCTTGAAAGATGGAAAGAGCTGCATTGCCATGACATTGGCCAAGACATTGATGGGCTTGGATGCTTTCCATCACCGAAAGATGACTAGATTCACGAGGAGTCCACTGCTGCTGCAGGTAATGTTTCCCACCCTATCTCGCATGTGTGTTGCTCACATCACTCGACCGTCAGGCTCAGTTTTTCTCACAAACCCATTTCTCACTTTTCTCTCAATATACACCTCTCTATTTTTTAATCTCTCATTTTTTATCCCTCCCCAGGTGTGGTTGATGGACAAATTGCAGGTTGTGGACTCTTGCCCAACATACTCAGCTTGCGGCTACTTCTTCTGACGTCGCCTAGTCGATGCCCTTGATGAGGGATGGTGGTTTGACTGGATGTGCAATTTTTCCGTAGATCGCATTGATTGGCGCTGTCCTTAGCTCAATCTACCGGCAATGAGCTATTGCATGTCCCGGCAGCTTGGGATTCAGTTGATTGGCCTGACACACTACGTGTTCTACTTTCTTTTCCGGTTCCAGCGCCAGTTTGGCCATGATCAGATTTGCCCGGCAGAGGGGATAGAATACCCGGCTGCATTTCTGGTCCGAGGCGCGCAGTTTGCTCGGTATGCCACAGCATGGAGGACTAGAGAGCTCCTGGCCCCCGCTTCCACTTTCAGTTGCACTTTGTCTGACGAGTGCGTAGATTGGCTTAATGAAGAGACACAGGTTGGGCCCAGCTTGGCATCAGAGGCTTCGACCAACTCTGGGAGGGGGCGCAGGAACACCTGACTATGCCCCGGATTTATTTGCTTTTAATCAGAACTTTCAAGTTTTCTTTATGAATGTAATGAAAAACAACTTCAATTTGTATGTAAGAGCAGGAGAACTCTGTATTGAAATCAATAAAATTGAAAGTTGTGGGTACTGAAAATTTCCCGTTTGATCCAAAAGTGGTCTAAGTTGTAAAAGATTAATTTGAGCAAAATCAACTTTTATTAAAACTTTTCAAAACCATTTTCGATATGGATCAAAACTGGACACGCTTGAGATCTGTCACTGAGATACACAACCCCAGATCCCAGCAACTGGAAAGTTGCCCCTAGTCGGAATAGCATTGCACCGGAGATCACAACCGAAGCTCTTGAATGCTGAATAAACAAAGATCACCAAGATGATCAAATGGACAAAGTTGATCGGGGAAAAGTTTATGGCTGGACTTCAAGATGAAGTTGCCTACGTATCCCAAAGATAGGAATCAAGCCTTACGTAGTTCGGTTCAGGTTCACTCATGTATTAACCCTCACTTTTTACGCTCTAACTTTTGCCAAGGCCGCCCTTTGCGGGTTTTCAACCTTGCGAGCTCAGTTTTTGTAATTTCAAAAAAAAATTTCATGCTCTAACTTTTGCCTAGGTCGCCCTTTCGGGTTTTCGGCCTAGCGAGCCTCTCAGGGGTAATATTTCTTCAACTTGTCCATGTTGATCGGCTGTGAAAACTCTAGGCCATCTAGGTTCACCAGAACGACAGCTCCACCTGACCAGATAGACTTGATGATGTAGGGACCGGTCCAATTGGTTCTGAACTTGCCCCTAGGGTTATGGATGGGAGCTCGGTTGTCTTTGAGCACCAAATCTCCTTCTTTCAAATTTCGGGACTTAACCTTCTTGTTGAAATCCCTGGCAATTCTGCGCTGATAACCTTGAACATGGTACAGTGCTTTCAGTCTTCTTCCATCAAAGAGCATGAGTTCTTCAAATCTGCTCTGCTGCCAATCTGCTTTGGCTATCTGACACTCAGCCAGCACCCTCAATGACGGAACCTCAATTTCAATAGGTAAAATGGCCTCCATCCCATAAACCAATGAATACGGAGTCGCCCCAGTAGAAGTTCTAATTGAAGTCCGGTAGCCCCACAGAGCAAATGGCAGCTTATCTGGCCAGTCCCGGTAGGTTTCCACCATCTTTTGTAAAATACGCTTGATGTTCTTGTTGGCGGCCTTAATTGCACTGTTGGTCTGCGGCCGATATGTAGATGACTTGTGAAAAGCCACGTTGTATTTCTCTAACAAGTCAATCACTTCCTTCTTGAAGTGGGAACCATTATCTGAGATAATCTCGTTTGGGACCCCATAGCGACAGATAATGTTGTTCCTGATAAACTTCGCAATGTACGACGCCTTCAACACCGCATAAGATTGGGCCTCAACCTGCTTTGTAAAATAGTCTATCGCGACCAGAATGAACTCATGCCCATTGGACCCCTTTGGAGTGACAGCCCCGATCACATCAATTCCCCAAACTGAAAATGGCCATGGCGAAGTCATATTGTACAGCTTCGACGGCGGGATGTTCATGCGGTTTGCATGGATCTGACATTTATGGCATCGCCGAACAAAGTCAGTACAATCCTCCTCCATGGTGGACCAATAGTAACCCTGTCTGACGATCTTTCGGGCTAGCATCACCCCGTTCACCTGCGCTCCGCACTATCCTCCATGGATGGCCTCCATTAGACGCTTCGACTCTTCAGCCTCCACACACAGCTTATGCATTCCCAGATGACCTCTCTTATACAGTTTTCCTCCGCAGATGATGAATTGAGCAGCCATTCTTCGGATTGCCCTCTTGTCTTTGGCAATTGCCCCTAGTGGATACGCTTCTTTCTTCAAGAAGTTTCAGACGTCGTAATACCAGGGGTTCTCATCTTGAACCTTTTCTATGGCAGCAATTGACTTGTAGGCCAGCGCAAACTTCTGATCAATGATGATCGGATGCATCCGGACTCCAAAAGGGATGTCTATCATAGAAGATAGAGTTGCTAGTGAATCTGCGAACCTGTTGTTTTCTCTTAACAGATGAGCGAAGTTTAGTTTCTCAAACCGAGGAATCAGCAAGTCCAAGGTCTGGTGGTAGATTCTCATCTTTTCTTCTTTGACTTTCCAATCTCCTTTAACTTGAGATACAACAAGGTTCGAGTCCCCGATGACGTCCAACCGTTTTGCCCCTAGTTCTAGGGCGACTTCTAAACCAGCAATGCATGCTTCATACTCTGCATCGTTGTTCGAGACTTTGAACCGGAGCTTAAATGCTAAAGGGATACGAGAATTGTCAGGTACTATCAGCAACACCCCTATCCCATACCCATATTGGTTTGATGCTCCGTCAAAGTACATCATCCAAGTTTCATCTTCGACATGCAGAATGGCCTCGTCTGGGAATAAGTACTCAACTGCTTCATCCCCTTCCATCGGATGATCAGCTAGGAACTCCGCTACCGCTCTTTCCTTTACTGACTTGCGAGTCACATACTTCATATCGAATTTGAAAAGCAGCAGCAACCAACGAGCTAGCCTACCCGTAAGTGCTGGTTTCTCGAAAAGATATTTGATGGGATCTAATCTTGAAATCAACATTACGGAGTGAGCTAACAGGTAGTGCCGCAGCTTCCTGGTAGCCCATACCAAGGCCAAACAAGCCTTCTCGAGTGGAGTGTAGCGGGTCTCGTAATCCAACATTTTCTTGCTCAGATAGTAGATAGCTTTCTCTACTTTATCCTCTGATTCCTGCACAAGCATGCAGCCCATCGCAATTTCAATCACTGAAAGGTACAAAATCAATGGTTTTCCCAGCTCAGGCGGTGACAACACGAGTGGGTTCTGTAAGTATTCCTTGATCTGTTCAAAAGCAGCTTGACATCGGCCGTCCCATTGGAACTTCTTTCCTTTCTTCAGGAGACCAAAAAGTGGTT